TCCAAAAGGATCCTAATGGGAATGTTCTTAAAGGTTCCAAAATAAAACAAAAATTGGATCTTTCAGAACACATACAGAAGTTACCAATTATTGGGACATGATTAAAAATAATTTAACAAATATTTAAGTAATTAAATGATTTTTAAAATTCTTGTTGCTTTAACTGTCCAGTCTCAACACAATAAAGTTTGTGGTTGGTAAGATTTTATTGTTTTTGAAAAAAGTCTCTTATGCTCATCAAGGCTGCATTTGTTTGATCATGAATACAATAAAGACAGTAATATTGTTAAATATTATTACAGTTTTAAAAAATGTGTTTCTGTTTTAATATCATTTTTAATGCAGTCTATTCCTGTGATGTAAAGCCAATTTTTTTCAGCAGCCATTATTCCAGTCTTCAGTGTCACATGATCCTTCAGAAGTCATTTTAATATGCTGATTTGGTGCTCAAGAAACATTTATTTTTATTATTAATGTTTAAAACAGCTTAATACGTTTGTGTAAACCGTGACACATTCTTTTTTTCAGGATTCTTTGATGAATAGAAAGTTCAAAAGAACACAGTTTATTTAAAATAGAAATATTTTGTAATAACGTGTCTTTACAGTCACTTTGATAAATTTAATGCATCCTTGTTGAATCAAAGTATTAATTCCTATTAATTAATAAAGGGAAAAAAAACCTTTCTGACCCCAAATTTCTGAGTGGTGCTTTACTTGCTGCAGTATGTGTGAACCAGTATGCATTATGCAAACAGTAGTATGCTACATTGCTGTCACATGATCCATTATCTTAAATTAGGTTTTTGTATATTAATTGTATAATAATAATTAAATAATTACATATTTGTGTTGTTTTTGCCTCGGTATGAGTCTTAATCAATCCCTTCCTTCAGGATTTGTTTAATATTTAATTAATTAATTTAATACATTTATTTAAATCCAGACGTGTATTTGCAGTACATCATGTCTAGAGTGGCGTGTGTTTGATTTTGTTTCAGACGCTTAATCTTACCTGGTGGACTCTCCACAACAGCACTGAGAGAGAAATACCTCTACAGAAAGTAACTACACTCAGCCGCAGAACGGACGGTATGGAACACACACACACACATGTCTAGTTTACTATCCTTGTGGTAACTCTCCACAGGCGTAATGGTTTTTATACTGTACAAACTGTATATCACCCTACACCTAAACTTACCCCTCACAGAAAGCTTTCTGCATTTTTACATTATCAAAAAAACTCATTTTGTATGATTCATAAGCTGGGATAGAAAAACATGTACACACACACACATCTAATTTGTTTCACTATATTAGTTGGATGTCTCATAGACTTCCATTGTTTTTATAATAACAATAAATGTTATTTTCTATCACCTAACCAGACCTCTACTGCTAAACATAACCCTCACAGAAATACTAGATTTAAATAGAAACATGATTTGGCTGATTTATACTGTAACCCTCATCAACTAGTAAGGACTAGTCAGTCTTCAACATGTTTCATTACCTTAGTAAGGACATTTTTTAATAGTGAGGGCATTTTGGACCTCACAGGTACAGTACAGTCAAACCTGTACACACAGTGTACACACAACACGCTAATCCAGCTTCCTGATACAGAACAGAGTTGGGAGAGGAGCTTAAAGCATGATAGATCTCATGAGGATTGTTGTGGTCTATTCATCGGGGTGTGGTGCCATTCTATATTTGTGTATCAGTTGACAAAACAAAAGTTGTCCTATATGCGTGAGAACATTCACAAGGAACTGAGAAAAATACCAATTGTAATTTTCTTGGTTTTGAATGCAAGGCAGCCTACTGCATACGGTGGATTATGTTACCAAACGCAACATTAGAAAACTGTAATGAAGGTTAAAATGAAATATCTCAGCATTCAGTCATGCAATATGCCATTTAATTCAGCTATAAAGCCTTTTAATTATATGAAGTCAGGTTTTCTAAATTGTTCCATGATAATACCTTGGTATTCTTTTAAGAACGTTTAGAATACCATGTAAATCCCTTTTTATAAATCCCGTTTATAAAATGCAATCATTCAGTACCTTAGTATTTATCAAAGTATCATGGTATTACTGTACGATTCTCTTGCCAGTTAATTTCACATCCAGTATTTTTGTTTCAATATAGGTTGTGAGTCTGTGCGAAGGGGTAAGTGTGTCCGCACAGCTGGGTTCTGTAGCCCTCGACCTGGCCGATCTGCACCTGGGACGCCACCTCCCGTTATTCCCAGCACCAGAGAAGATCCCTTCTGGTCTCGCTTCTGCTGTGTCAATGCCTTCATTCTCATGTGCGTCAACATCTTCCTCTATGCTTACTATGCATAACACACACCGCCACACACAGAACATTTCTTTATTTTATTTTTTTTTAATACAAATTCAACACTTAGACTTCTGATAAAACCTTTGGAATTTTACTTATTACACAGTGATATTAAAATTACAATTAAATTGATACAATTCATTTTTTTAAATAAATAGTCATTTAAATCCAATGGAAACATGGTTCTGCAACTCACTGTTTTTCTTTTTCTCTAAAAAAAATAAATAAATATAAACCCACAATTTTGAGGAAAAAATTGCAAAAGTTTTTTCGCAATTCTACTTTTTTTTCTCAGAATTGTGAGTTTGCCTCTCGCAATTCTGTTTTTTTGTTTTTGTCATGAAATAAAATAAAAAAAGGTCTGAAGTCTGAATCATGTGACAAACTCAGAATTGTGAGGAAAAAGTCCCTAATTGTGAGATAAGAAGTCACAATTACCTTTTAATTTTTATAAAAAAAAATTGGAAAGAACGCCCATAAAATCTCTTTAAATTATTGGGCTACATAAGACATTTTATAGATTGTTTTAATAGTTGTTCAGTTAGCTTTACATATAATGCATTTATGCTCTACCTTAAAGAATTGTATATTTGCCTTTGTGAATAGAGCAAAAAATGTATTGCCATGCGTTTTCTCACAGTGCACGCTAAAAAGGTAATACATTATGCTTATAGTAAGATCTTATTATATGTTTGATAAATATGTTTGAATTGACTGGGGGGGGGGGGAAGCTCATTACTAGATAGTCCCAAAGATGTGGGTGTAAATGTAACTGCAGTTTTGCTTCTTGGAAAAAAATGAACGGTGATTAAACTGTAATTTTCTGTACAGCACATCATTGACTGTGTATTTTGTGTCTGAATAATTATTTCAACAATAGCGTGAGAGTGGCCATAGATTATATGATTGTAAGAACAGCATGTAGATGATTTTAAGAAAAGAAAATTAGGGTGGGTTATATGAAACGTTAACTGTTAAATATTTGTGGCTGTTCATGTTCAACGTTTTGTTTTCTCTTCAATTTATATTGTTTTATTGTTCATGTGCAAATGAAAAATGTATTCATTAAAATCACAAAGCAATGTGTAAACCAAGTGTTTTGTGTTTGAAGATTTGAAAACATTTTGGGCTAGTACTAATCCTCCTTTACATTTGGAATACAATTGTGAACAGCAAGTACAAGCAATACACATATATTAAATAAAAGTTTATTTTTTCCCTTGAGTTGATAGTTCATAGACAGAATATTTGCTTGTACACATCCTTACATAATCATAAATTATTACAACTGACATTGCTATATTTCTACAAAAGTTCTACATTTAAAATATCTATCATCTGTTAAACAACATAAATAGCAATGCTTGCTGTTCAAATGTGTGCAGGCAATATATTTGTTAATAGATGTAAAGATGAGTCAGTGCTTTGATTTTATTGCATTACATGTCAGAACAGAAGCGTTGCAGCAAAGCCTCTCTTGTTGATATACTGTGTATTTTACACATCATTCATGTCAATATAAATAAAATTACATTGCTTGTTGTAAATAAACTGACCAGTAGAGAGCGATTATTTCAATTACGTCACTCAAAATGTAATATTAGCTTATTATTGCTTGTTTTTATGGTCATGTCGTAAATAGTACTAGAGTCCCAAATGTTTGCACATGGCATAGGTGGATCCAACATTTGTTTTCCATTACAACATCAGTCAGAGGCCTTCCTGAACAAACATGTTAAAGATAACAATGAAATAACCCCCTCTCACTCTAATAAGAAGTATAGAAAAAGTTAAATGAATTTAATTTTAATGGTTTAGGAAATTAAATTTGCATTTTTATATAATTACTAGTGGTCTAAACAATTATTTATGGTAATTATGTCAACACTACAGTAAAAAAATTAAAATCAAATAAATTAAAAGGGTAAAGTGTGTAATTTCTGTGGCACTAAGCAGAATTAACAATAAAATAAATGCAACAGGCACTGCCCAAATCTGCCAATGGATGATCAAATTGATAGCCCTGCTCCAAACTCACAGCATTGGTCGAGCAAATGTTATGATAGCACCACAACGCCACAGTATTTACAGAGAAATCAACATGCAAATGATTTAAAATATATAACGTCATTAGTAATCCTCAAAAGTATGTTTATTGCATTAGCACAGTAAAGAAAAAATAAATTAATAAAATATGAAAAAATAAGAAATATATAGTAGGTCTGGTTCACTTGTGGTTGAAAAAAAATGACATGATTTTTTTTGTATTATCAATAAAAACATCAAGTGCAATGAAAAAATGCAAGGTTGATACTCCAACTCTAATGTCATACCTTGATTTGAAATTACTTGAAAGTATGTGAAAGAAGAATAGACAGCAAGCTCAGATGATGGCTGATCAATAAGTGACACTGAACTGTCACCCTTAATTGTTATTAAGAGTGTTACAAAAACTGGTTTGTTAACAAGTTATAACTGATTTCTGATTTGCTTTCTGAAAGCAATCAACAAAGAAGAATGTTGACCTTTGACACATAAGGTTGAATTAACAGACCTTAATCACCTGATACACCGAACACTGATGTATAAGGCTTTGTTTACCTTCAGATTTATGAAGAGTATGTGCAATTGATGAATATGGATTGGGCTCTCTTTAACTTTAGCTGTACAGGATGGTGACACTCATAGCTGAAGTTCAGTGGTAAATTGGCTGCACGTACTCTGGTGGAAACACGCCAACTCTTCCACGGCACCGCCCCCTCCAGCACTGAGCATCCGAACAGTCGAGCAGGTCAATGACATCACCGCGCAAGAAGCGTAGATGAGTTGCATGATTAGATGTGAAGTCAAAGAGGGCATGGGCATGACGTGGCCTCTGAAACAGAAACACACACAAATCACGGACATGACAAGACTGTGCACTGGATCAGCAGTCAAACAAAACATAGTCATACCTATGAAAGCCTGTTTCCACCTCAGAGTAATAATACAACGTGTTATAAAGTCACATTGTGCAACAAGTCACAATTGGGAGATATTAAGCCACGACTATGAGAAATAAAGTTGCAATTACAAGAAATAAAATAAAAATGTAGGAGAAGTTGCAATAGTCCTACTTAGGAGAAAATAATTGCAATTATTAGAAGAGTCCCACAAATAGGCTATGAGAAAGTTCAAATTTAAATTTAAATAAAGTTGTAATTGTGAAATACAGACATAATTACAGTAAAAAAAGTTGCAATTATGAGAAAAAATTCTCACAATTATGAGAAAGTTGCTACAATTGTGAGATGTAAAGACATGACTGTCAGAAATAAAGTTACAAAGGTGAGAAACAAAATTTAAAATAGAAGAAATAAAATCGAAATTTAGGAGAAATTAAGTTGCAATTGTGAGATAGTCATAATTACAAGAAAAAAAGTTGTGATTCCAAGAAAAAAAGTCACGACTGTGAGATATAAAGTCGCAAATGTGAGAAACAAAATCACAATTATAAGAAACAAAACGGAAATTTTGGAGAAATTGTGAGAGAGTCACAATTCAGGAAAAAAGTTGCAATTCTGAGAAAGTTGCAAAAAAAATTAAATGTTAGATATAAATATAATATTCAGCTATTAGATATAAAGGCACAACTGTAAGAAATAAAGTCGAAATTTACGAAAAATAAAGTTGCAATTGTGAAATACAGTCCGAATTCAGTTGCAATTGTGAGATATAAAGTCACAATTTATGAGAAATAAACAAATAAAATAACTCCCAAGTGAAAATGAACTTCCATAGATAACCTGTTTCCCTAAGCCCAACAGTAACCTTTAACTACCCTAAACTCAGCAATATTATATTGATAAAGGAGGGTCGCATTTGGCTCAAAAAGCTCATAACAAATATCAGCAACAGGATATGATTTCATGCTCAAGCCATGTAGCTTTGCATTTTGTATTAAGCCAAGAGATCAAAGTTTGACTTTATGTCCTTTATTGGTCAAACATCCTTTCGCTTTGCAAATTTGCAGATTAGAGTTCACCAGAGTTATACTTTGGCACCTCAGTAATGCTGTTCAATCTACAAACATCATGTGCTCATGTACATGTGACTCTTACAGCTAATGATCCCTCAGGCTCTTTCAGGAAGACTTTTCTCTCTTTGGCAATGCTGTTGATTTTGTAGAAGTCCACCAGCTGGTTGAGGGAGCTGAAGACTTCATCCCAAATGAAGAACTGCCCTAATCTATCTTTCAAAACCTTAAAGTGCTGCACATGGTCCCCGTAACTAGAAAGAGAGAGAAAAAAGGGTTATTTATCTTCAAGATAAAGGGGTAGATCTTGGCTTGACTTGCCTGTTTATTAAATCGGAACATAAAAGTATTTGATTAAAGGTTTTGCCTAATAAATCACAGTTTGACATTTCAGCTCTTAGCAAGTTCTTGAGTCACGATGTAAAAGAACAGTGTTAATAACTTTAATCAAATTAGACTCTGAAAAAGTCTGTGCTTATTCTCCTGTAACTAGATTAAGGAATATTCCTCTCAGAAGATATCCATATGCATATCCTGTCAAGATGCAATAATACAATAAGACATGCATTGTCTTAATGTCCTGCAAATATGTGAAAAGTTTTAAAACCAATAACTATTTTCCAAAAACATAATTATTAATTAGCATTAATATTTACTCCTATATTACACTTCAGTACATGCAGTATTTGATTGCTGAGTGCTAGAAATCAGTCAAGTCAAGTCACCTTTATTTATATAGTGCAATGCAATACATACAATAGTAAACACTCAGTTTTCCAGTAAAATTCAGATCATCATTGATTCAGAGATGTCATCGTCCAGCTCAGTTCAGTTCAAATAGTATCTGTGCAATCAAGTAGACAATATCGACAGACATTAAGTGTCCCCAACTAAGCAAGCCAAAGGCGACAGTGGCAAGGAACCAAAACTCCATCGGTGACAGAAATGGAGAAACAAGCCTTGGGAGAAACCAGGCTCAGTCAGGGGGCCAGTTCTCCTCTGGACAGACGAAACCAGCATGGTATGGTTTAACCGTGCAGGGGACTTGTCTTGTGTCAGTGGCCGTCGAGGTGACAAGGTCTTTGCAGGGGATCTGTCTCTGGGGCTCATCTAGTTGACATTGTCTCTGCTGACATTCAGGGCTGTCAAGGTCGTCTCTAGGTGCTGATCCACCATCTGGACTGGATACGGACTGAATCTGGGTGACTACAGTAATCCCAGAATAGGTTTCCGGTTCCGGTTGACTTAATTAATGCAGACTAACAATCCTTTAACAGATTTGAATTATATAAATGTGATATAATGTGTGCGTTATATGTATGCCAGGTAAAAGAGATCGGTCTTTAATCTAGATTTAAACTGAGTGCGTCAGTCTCCCGAACAATGTTAGGTCGATTGATCCAGAGTTTGGGTACTAAATAGGTAAAGGATCTACCGCCCGTAGTTGATTTTGATATTCTAGGTATTATCAAATGGCCAGAGTTTTGAGATTACAGTGGACGTGAAGGACTATAATGCGATAAAAGCTGACTCAAGTACTGAGGAGCTAAACCATTCAGGGCTTTATAAGTAATTAGCAAGATTTTTAAATGTATACAATGTTTAATTGGGAGCCAGTGCAGTGTTGACAGAACCGGGCTAATATGGTCATACTTCCTGGTTCTAGTAAGAACTCTAGCTGCTGCATTTTGAACCAGCTGAAGTTTGTTAATTAAGTGTGCAGAGCAACCACCCAATAAAGCATTACAATAATCTAACCTTGAGGTCATGAATGCATGAATTAGCGTTTCTGCATTTGACATTGAGAGCATAGGTCATAACTTAGATATATTTTTAAGATGGAAAAATGTGGTTTTACAAATGCTAGAAGTGTGGCTTTCAAAGAAAAGATTGCTATCAAATAGAACACCTAGGTTCCTAACTGATGACGAAGAACTGACAGAGCAGACATCGAGTGTTAGTGACAGTGTTCTAGGTTATTACATGCAGAGGTTTTTGATAATTAGCACATCTGTTTTTTTCAGAATTTACCAGTAGGAAAATACTAGTCATCCAGTTTTTTATATCAACTTTGCATTCTGTTAGTTTTGCAAATTGGTATGCTTTGTCGGGCCGTGAAGAGCTGAGTATCATCAGCATAACAGTGAAAGCTAACACCATGTTTCCATATAATATCTCCCAAGGGTAACATGTAAAGCATGAAAAGCAGCAGTCCTAGTACTGAGCCTTGTGGTACTCCATACTGCACCTGTGATCGATATGATACCTCATCATTCACTGCTATGAACTGATGACGGTCAGAAGTGTGGCTTTCAAAGAAAAGATTGCTATCAAATAGAACACCTAGGTTCCTAACTGATGACGAAGAACTGACAGAGCAGACATCGAGTGTTAGTGACAGTGTTCTAGGTTATTACATGCAGAGGTTTTTGATAATTAGCACATCTGTTTTTTTCAGAATTTACCAGTAGGAAAATACTAGTCATCCAGTTTTTTATATCAACTTTGCATTCTGTTAGTTTTGCAAATTGGTATGCTTTGTCGGGCCGTGAAGAGCTGAGTATCATCAGCATAACAGTGAAAGCTAACACCATGTTTCCATATAATATCTCCCAAGGGTAACATGTAAAGCATGAAAAGCAGCAGTCCTAGTACTGAGCCTTGTGGTACTCCATACTGCACCTGTGATCGATATGATACCTCATCATTCACTGCTATGAACTGATGACGGTCAGATAAGTATGAGTTGAACCATGCCATTGTAATTCCAGTAATGCCAACATCATTTTCTAGTCTATTCAACAGAATGTTGTGGTTGATAGTGTCGAACCACGATCGGATGATAAGAGCAGGTCATTTGTAACTTTGTTCAGAGCAGTCTTAGTACTATGATACGGTGTAAATCCTGACTGGAAATCCTCACAGATACCATTTTTCTCTAATGGCGCTTTTCCACTGCATGGTACGGCTCGGTACGGTTCACTTTTGGGGGGTTTTCCACTGGGTACAGTACCTGGCACCTGGTACTTTTTTTATTCCATATAATATCTCCCAAGGGTAACATGTAAAGCATGAAAAGCAGCAGTCCTAGTACTGAGCCTTGTGGTACTCCATACTGCACCTGTGATCGATATGATACCTCATCATTCACTGCTATGAACTGATGACGGTCAGATAAGTATGAGTTGAACCATGCCATTGTAATTCCAGTAATGCCAACATCATTTTCTAGTCTATTCAACAGAATGTTGTGGTTGATAGTGTCGAACCACGATCGGATGATAAGAGCAGGTCATTTGTAACTTTGTTCAGAGCAGTCTTAGTACTATGATACGGTGTAAATCCTGACTGGAAATCCTCACAGATACCATTTTTCTCTAATGGCGCTTTTCCACTGCATGGTACGGCTCGGTACGGTTCACTTTTGGGGGGTTTTCCACTGGGTACAGTACCTGGCACCTGGTACTTTTTTTAGTACCTCCTCGGCTGGGGTTCCAAGTGAACCGTACCGTTACCAAAACGTGACGTGTAAACTCTGCTGATCACGGATTGGCCGGAGAGAATCGTCACTACCTGAGTCACTGAACTTGCGACACAAACACAAAAGAACCGCTAGATTTAAATCAGCACAGCCAGCGAAGGATCGAACGTAACTGTTTGGAATGAGTGCACCTTTTTATAACAACCAAAAAGTTTTGTTGTCTGTTGCGGAAGAACAGACGTTCCTCTCGTTGATAGCAGAGGAGCGGATCCAGTGAGAGCTTGTTGGAACGACGCGGAATAAAAACGTTTTTTTTTAGGAGTCGTGGTAGTAGAGGCGGCGCAAATATAACGACATGTGAATAATCCCGCCCACTCTAAAGCGGTACTGAACTGCAGTGGAAATGCAACATAAGAGCCCCCAAAATTCTGATTCAGTACCAGCAAAAAGGAAAGCAAGTATTAAAGTGTATATCCACTTTTGATTTTCCTTGCAATATAAATTTTGCAACAATGAACGTCACCAATTTAAATGTAACTATTCCCTTGACACTGGTTAGTAACCGTGCCGAGCCGAACCATGCCATGCCGTACTGAGCCATGCCGAGCCGAGTCGTACCACACAGTGGAAAAGCGCCATAAGAAGGAACACAGTTGTGAGGATACTGCCTTTTCTAGTATCGTTGACAAAAAAATGAGATTGGTCTGTAATTAACTAATTCTCTAGTATCAAGTTGTTTTTTTAATGAGAGGCTTAATAGCAGCTAGTTTGAAGGTTTTTGGGACATATCCTAATGACAATGACGAATTAATAATAATAAGAAGAGGATCTATGACTTCTGGAAGCACCTCTTTTAGTAGCTTAGATGGTACAGTGTCTAACATACATGTTGTTGGTTTAGATGATTAACAAGTTTAACAAGTTTATACAATTCTTCATCTCCTACAGCAGAAAATGTGTGGAATTGTTCCTCAGGGGATCTACAGTGCACGATAGCTGATGGCTGCATGGTTATAATTTTATCTATAATAGTACAGATCTTGGAAGTAAAGAAGTCATTATTGCTGTGCTGTTGGGAAATGTCAGCTCCTGTTGATGCTTTATTTTTCGTAAATTTAACCACTGTACTGAATAAATACATAGGGTTGTGTTTGTTTTCTTCTAAGAGATGAAAAGTAAGCAGATCTAGCCATTTTTAAGACTTTTCTGTAGGAGGAAGTACTTTCCCTCCATGCAATACAAAACACCTCTAGTTTTGTTTTCTTCCAGCTGCGCTCCATTTTCCGGGCTGCTCTCTTTAGGCTGCAAGTGTGCTCATTATACCACAGTTTTCCTTAATCTTCTTTAAGCATACAGGAGCAACCGTATCTAAAGTGCTAGAAAAGAGAGTCAATAGTTCCCCTTCAGGAACTCGAGCTGCGTCGAAACGCTACGGGAACGCCTTCAGCGTGACCACCCTCTGAATCACATGTGTAATCAGTCCAATGGATGGGCGAGACGTCTTTCTGGTGACATAGCGACCAGAAAGAATAAAAGCATGTGCGGTGAAACCGGCGCCAGCCGCCTTGCGGTTCTTTCTCCCCGGTGAGAGGGTTCGACGCTCCCCTTACCAAAAAGTAGTATACTTCAAGTTTATTTTAGTAAGTATACTTAAGTAAAGTTCAAGTATATTTTTAAGTATACTTTATGTAGTAAGTATACAAATATCAGTGTACTAGTAGTATACTTGTAAGTGTACTATTTCAATACTCCTTGGGACTAAATTGGCCCACT